CTTTTTTTTTTTTGCACATTTGGAAACTTCCCTGTTATGGATGATGAAAACCATATCCACTGAAGTGATCAGTTTGTTAGGCGTGGACAGCGGGTTCTTAGGAAGTGGGTGGAGATTGCCAAGGTAACAGGTCAAGAGAGTTTGCAGTTTGCAGTATAATTACCTGGTACAGTGTTGGGAGCCTGTGATTCTGCCTCAGACCGTGGACTTTGCATTAATTGTGGAGTTCCTGTTAAAGTCTTCTCTAGTATAAAATGTGGATATGACCAAAGAATAGTGAGTTTGGGACAGGCATTTTGTTTTAATTTCCTTTATTTTATTAGCTTTGGGGACCATCGATTGTATATTCAGTTCACACATGTAGGGAAAAAAGTCTTTTTACTCATTTTTAGTTCAGTTGTGATGCACTGAATGGCTGAGGACTTAAAACAGATGTGCTGTGCATAATCTTTTCTTCCTGATTACAGAAGTCCTATCTGTTCATTGCTTGAATAGTTGTGATTAAGAAACCGATAATTTGGGGATGGAAAATTCCTTGTAATTCCCAGAAATATGTGTGCTTAACATTTTGGTATTTGTTCCTTCAGATTCTTGTCTATGATTATTTTGTTATATATTTGAATTGTATTTTACCCACCAAGGTATTTTAGGACAGAAATAAGTCTCTGGTGTAAGACCTGAAGCCTTTCATTTAACCATTTGTGGCTTTTCGATGTATTTTATTTGATAGGCCCCACTGAAACCCAGAAGCTCTGCGTTTCTGGGTAAGGGAGAAGCAACTGCGGCTTCTACTCCATGCCTTGCAGTGCACTTAAGCATTTCCCTTGGATTATCTTGGTTTTTCACCAACTTTACAGCATAGGCAGGAGTTACTGTCTCTTTATATACATGAAGAGGAAGAGGCAGGCAAGTTCAGTGACTTGCTCCAAGTTAATCAGTGAGGAACTTGGGATGCCTACCCATTTAAATAGATTTCTTGTATTGAGAAGTGTTTTTTAATGGAAAATAAATTTTTTTTGAGATGTATACACCTCTTGAATGAGGACACACTGCTTCTTTGACTTAAGAAGTAGCTTCCTGTTTGTTTGTTTGTTTGTTTGTTTAAGATTTTATTCACTTGTTTTTAGAGAGAAGGGAAGGGAGGGAGAGAAACATTGCTCGATTGCCTTTTGTACACCCCTGACCTGAGACTGACCTTGCAACCCAGGTATGTTCCCTGACTGGGAATAGAACCGGCAGCCTTTCACTTTGTGGGATGATGCCCAACCAACTAGGTCAGGGCTAGGTGGCTTGCTAGTTTTTGACCAGAATTTGGTATTCCATGACCCAGTGGCTGAATCTAGCCTCATATCCTTTTTGTAAATTAAGTTTTATTAGAACATGGCCACACCCACTCATTTACATATTGCAAAAGACTATCTGACCTGCAAAGCCTGAAATAATTGCCTTCTGGCTCTTTGCAGAAAATGTTTGTTGACCCCTGCTGTGGACACCAATTTTTATTTAGGTGCGTAATTTTTTTCAGATGCTTTGGTGGTTGGAAGTGCTTTCTTCTCCCAAACCAGTCAAACTGCCATATCACTTCATTTCTAAGTTTTATGTGATCCTGTGTAGTGAATGCATTTCTACATAGTCCTTTGCAGATAGCGTGAATTACCAAAAAATTCCCAAACTTTTCTACTGTCAATCTTTGTAGAACACTGCACACTCAATGCTGGCTAATTCTGGCCCATTGCACTCTATGAAAATAGGCCAGTGATAGTTGATATTAAAGTGCAGGAAGAGATTATAGCCAGTCTTTGCTTCTGTAAGCAGCAGCACCCTGAGATTTCTTACACATGGGTGTTGTGGGGGAATGTAGATTTATGTGGCTGTGATAGTTGTATTTAAGTTGGATGAGTCTCACTCTGGACAGTGTGGGTCAGTTGGTTGGAGCATTATCCTGTAATGGGAAGGTTGCAGGTTTGATTCCCAGTCAGGGCACATACCTGGGTTGAGGGTTTGATCCGGGTCCAGGCGTGTACCATCCCCAGTCCAGGCGCATATGGACGCGACCAATTGATGTTTCTCTCTTGCATCACTGTTTCTCTCTCTTCTTTACTCTCTGTATAAAAGCATTAATAATTATAAAAAAGTACTTGGGTGAGAATAAAAACAAAGAAATATGGAAACATTAAAAAAATTGGATGAGTCTTCTTTTGACACCAAGTGAATTTGTTGTTTTTATAAAACAGTAAGCTATTAAGTTTGTTTTCTTGCAGCAGTTTGAAAAATGGAAAACGTGGGAAGAATAAAAATAATTACTGTGATTGTTACTGTTTCACATCCCTCAGATTCATGACTCCTCAGAACTCTAGCTGGTTACTACTGAATGGCAGATTTACTCTTTAAAAAATTTTTAAAAACATTTCATTTATTTATTTTTAGAGAGAAGGGGAGAGGGAAAGAGAGGGAGGGAAACATTGATGTGTGAGAGAAACATTGATCAGCTACCCCTTGCACACCCTCAACTGGGGACCTGGCCTGCAGCCCAGGCTTGTGCCTGACTGGAAATCAAACCGGTGACATTTCAGTTCACAGGCCGGCACTCAACCCACTGAGCCACACCAGTCAGGGCGGCAGATTTATTCTTTTAACAGCTTGCATTGCCAGCACAACAATGACTTGTCACCTTGAGCAGTATGGGAGGACAGGCACATTGTCATTCCTGTCTAATCCTAATATTGGAACAACTTGCCAGGGTTTAGAGAGGCTGCTATTCCAAACTGATCAGGTGGCATCAGCCTTTCCTTAGAGCCACTTGGGTTTCACCAGCTCTTTTGTACAAATACAATGGGAGCCACTCAGAGAAGTTGATGTTTGTCGTCCCCACACACAAAGTCATCTTAAATGTCTTGGCAAATGAAGAAACATCAGAGGACCAGTGAGTCACGAGTATGTCGCCATACATTTCTCCAATCTTTATGGGGATTACCAAGGTTTTAATTCATGTTCCAGTTTCCACTAATATTTCTTCTGCTTGTGATGACAAGAGTACTTAAGTTAGTTCAGGCAAATTGGTTCATAAATTTATGGATTTTTTTCAATCCTTTGTCCCAGGCAAGTCTGAACAGGACCTGGAAAGCTGATTAAAAGGCCAGCGAGCACGCTGAGCTTAATTTCAGATTAAATGGATTTTAATGCAGCGGGAAAGTACTCAAGTGCTCCAATCTCTCTTTTTAATCTATGCTTGAATCTAATGGACTGGAAATACTTATTTTCCTACTACAGGAGTTGGTTACTGCTACATTTCTTAAGCTTGACATTCATGGTGGATGTCTGTAGGTAATATTAACACCTAAGGATACAAAATTACTAAATGAAGGCAGACGGGAAGGAAAGAGAGCACTGAGCCAGGAAGTCTGTTATAGTGTGTGGGGCGGACCAGAGAATGGCCTGGGGTGGGCAAGAAGGTGGTCTGTCAGTGTGGGTGGGGGAAGCCACCTGGCTGTAGCATCCTCCTGCCTTTGTCCAGCTGCTCACATTGAAGCCCATTCCTCATTGGAGGTCAGTGGTGTAGGAGCCATGGTTATGGTGGTTTTCTTCCCCTAAGTATGTTAACTACTTTTTAGGTGAGTCTTAATCTCGGACATAAACATCCTGACCATTAAACTCGAAGACCTGTGAAAATTTTAAAATCGAGAGGATTTTATTCTTTGAATTATGTGCTGTCCCTAAGGCATTGACCTTTATTCTAAACATTTGGTCATTGATAACCTATTTATTCTGTTTGGATTTCAATGAATTGTTAGTGCTATTTTGTGATCTGGTAGAACACAAAGTATGGGATTTTATCTTTTTTTGCATGTATGAATTATTGTACATTTCCGTACTGTTTGTATTCCTGGTTAGTATGTGCTTTAATTTAATTCAGTTACCTATTACAGATGGGTGAGACACTTCTTTAGATCAAATTATAATGAAATTACTTGGGTCTGCATTTCTGACTCTTATAAAGATGGAAACAGCTTATTCTCAAATTTAGGGTGTTTGGCAAAGGACCTGCCCTTCTGTAGTCCACGATTCTGGACCGTAATATTTTAGCTTAGATGAACCACAAAGTTAAACTTTAAAGATCATGCTATTCTTAATATTCAGGAATGTATTATACAAACTTGGAAGTTTACTTTAAAGTTCTTCATAAGATTTTTGTGAGAATTCAGTTAGTGAAAGTAATGATAGGGGATTTAGCTATTCATTTTAATTTTAAAGAGGGCAACACCTTTAAGCCATTGGAAGCCAGCTGTAGCCTCCCTGCCCTGAGAGTAGAGCAGAGAAGAAGAGAGCTCCGGTGGTCTGCTGCCACCCTCTTTCCTTTCTTTTTCATTTATTGACTTGAGTGAGAGAGGGAGAAACATTGACTTGTTGTTCCACTCATCTGTATATTCATTGGTAGATTCTTGTATGTGCCTTGACCAAGGATTGAACCCATGACCTTGGCATATTGGGGCGATGCTCTAACCAACTGAACTATCTGGCCGGGTTTTATTTATTTATTTATTTATTTATTTATTTATTTATTTAATAACAGTTGCCACCCTCTTTTCCCCATGCTCCCTCCCTGGTGGGGCAACATTGGGTGATGAGCATGAGGGAATATGCAAAAGCATAACCGAACATACACTGTTTTTACTGTAGCGATAAACTGCTTTTAATATCCTGCTGGTTGTTGGAACGGCTTTGATGGCAGTGAGATGTTTTTTATTTATTTATTTTTTCAATTGGAAAAATTTTCTCCCCACTTGAGAAGATTGAATCTGGGCTACAAGGAGTTCTGCAACCTGTGACCTTTGTGCTTTCCCAAACCTCTATGGGACGCTGGCTGGGTAGCCAGTGATCTCAGACTTCTGATTGTGCTCAGGCAGCCGTGCTTGGCATCTAGGAATTTAGGTGGTTTTTACAGTTTCGGTGATAACTTTTAATCTTATTCTTACTTATTTCTTCTCCCTTTTGTTTTTCAGTGTCCTGGGTCATGAAACTTAATCCACAGCAAGCTCCATTATATGTGAGTAAATCATGAAATTTCTTTTAATTTTGCACTTCCCTATCCTGTTTACTTGTTAAAATAAACCCCACTATACTATCATGTTATTATCAGAGGAATTTTTAACCATGGACACATGAATTTATTGGCATAACAAACTTCAGAAATTGAATTTGAGTTAGTAAATATTGTGACTAATACGCGCATGGTTCTGAGCTGAGTACCAATAATACAATACCTGCAAGACTGTGAGCTGAGCTAGTTAGGGTGATGACATGCACATGTAAAGCAATTGCATTGCTCTGCAAAGTCATTTTGTGGCTTCTCTTACGGTGCATTTCTGTAAAGGTAGTGTGATCTGCCTCCTGCCCATGTTGCGTTACCCTGTGTTACAGCTAGGTGGTGCTCTGTCACTGACTCTAGGAGTCTGAGTGAAAGCTGGTGTACCATCTGAAGTCTGGCAAGTCACAGGGACTTATGCTGTTTTGATCGAGAAAAGTAACTGTTAAGTGACAGTAAATGGATGAGGTGCTCTTAGATTCTTTAATTCTCTGCTCTTAGAGGAAAGTGTAATACACACACACAAAAAAAACAAAGAGTGTGTTGAAGTTTTTCTTTCAGTATATTTTGAACCTGCTAAGGGTGAGTATCATCAGCAAGAAAAACTATTAGTAAATAAGGAAAAACACCGGATCCTGAGAAATATTCCCCCCCCCAATCTCATAGCACTTAATGATAGAGATTTGCATAGAGTCCTTTTTAAAAATAAGTAACCCAAGTTTAATTTTCTTTTTCACATGTTTTAAACTTTTTAAATCTCTTACTTAGAATAAGTTCAAATTTACAGAAAAGTTGCAGGAATACAACTCACCTCTGTCATCTCTTACTAATATTTAGTCACATTAGGTTATCATTCTCTTTATCACATATTTTTTGAATCGCTTGAAAGTTGCAGAATCATACTCTATTCCCCTAAATATTTCAGCATATGTTTCCTAAAAACTAGGACATTTCTCATTCATAACCACAGCACAGTGAACAAAAACAGAAATTCTAACATTGAAGTAATGCTCTTACATAATGTAAGCCCATATCCAAATTTCGGTGATTATCCCAATAATGTCCTTTATAGCATCCTCCTCCCACCCCGTCCCCAATCCATGATTTAATCCATGATTCAATCCAGGATTCCACATTGTATTTATGTCTGTTTAGTCTCTTACTCAGTAGGTCCTCTGCTTCTCTGTCTTTTATCATATTGACTGTTTTGGAATATTGTAGGCCAATTACTTTGTAGCAGGTTCGGTTTGTATGATATTTTCTCCCAATTTTGGGCAGGAATGCTACATAAACGATGCCCTTATTGGTGTACGGTATTGATCCATTGGTTATTTGGTGTTGGTTTTGCATAGTTAAATTTATCTGTTCCAGTGGCAGTGGACATTTAAAGGAGATGCTGTGATTGTTCACTTCCCCCCTTCAATGCTTAAACTTCAGATTTCAAGTAGTGTTGTTTCTGGTTGGAAGTACCTTTCATGCATTGGATTTTCCTAACATGGGACACTGTTGTTCTCTCTAAGGTGTGCCCTTGAATATAGGTGAAGGGGCCGATGTGAGCAGAGAGCACAGTGTGAGTGATTCATTGCCTGAGGTTTGAACAGAATATTGTCTCTGCCCTTGTGGGTACATACAGGGTTTTTGAACAAGTGTAATTCTTAACTAAGTGGGTGTAGCCATACTTAATACAGAACATAGTAGTCACTCAGTGAACATCTGTTGAGTGAAATACAGTTTAGACAAGGCTATATAAAATACTAGTAAACTGACCTTCTTATTAACAGAACAGCTGCTATTCTTAAAGGTGCTCGTTTGTTTTCCAGGTTTCTTTATTAATTACTGTATGTGGGCCCAGGATAGTTAGTGGTGCCATCTCTGTGATTGAAGGTGTTGCTGACAAGGAAATACATGTGATAATGATGTCCTTGTTGTACATGGGTAGCTTCCTCTTTACAGTTGTAAGGAAATATGTATAGCATGTCTGATAGAGTTCTGCTGTAGAGCTAACCAATGTCTTACCTTGTCATTAGCAAATTGAAAAGTCATACTAGAAATAGTGCCTGTTATCTCTTGACTCCTGAATTACTACCTCTAGTTCTGATGGGACTTATGGTTTGAGCCACTTGTTTACGTGACAGCTAATATGTTTTTATGAACACAGTACATGTGCCCTCTGGCTCCATACACCTTCTCACTGTCAAGATAAAAGCACAGACTTTTCCCAGAAGGGGCAGGGGATGAGGACTGCTGTCAGATGATAAAAGAAAAAGCCAGGCACATGAAACAAATGTTGGTATTTATTTATAAAGCAAACAAAATAGGCCCTACACCACCCACACACTAAGCTTTACTGACCTAGCAACCTACCAACTGGACACTAGCAACAGTAAACAAATCCTCCCCCAGATGAACAGCTGAAAAGGAAGCAAGATTTTTAAACTTCCGAAGGAAGGGGTGGGGAAGGAAGAGGAAAGGGTCTTTGGATGCCTCTTATCTTTGGCTCCAGGCTTATTCTAGAAGAGATCCATAGAGGCCCCAGCCTGAAGCTCTATAAGGTACAATACGGGTCAAGAATAAAGAGACCTGGATTAATCCCATACTTCACATGCCAGAGGCAGCCCTTCCTTTCTCCTGTCATCATTGTTCTGGAGGGAAAGTTGTGATGGTGCTCCCAACTGAGTGTCCCACTGTCAGGTCTATCCCTGGGAAGTTTGATGGGTCATGGGAATCACTGTGTTTTCCGGGTGGTTGAGCCCTGTCTTCTGGAAGAGTGAAGAAACCAAGCTACAGAACGATTAAGGGATTTGCCTAAAGTTTCTTGGGGGTTGTGATAGATCTGGTCAAGTAGCAGAATCTGCAAATAAAGAGCTTAGCCAATGTTAATAGGCAGCGGGTTGTTAGTTGGCTTGAAGACTCAATAAATGAGCTAAGTGACAAAGGGAAGATAGTAGCAAAGGGAAGATTGGAAGAAGTAGCAGAGGGAAGATTGGAAGAAGAAAGGAATATCTGAAAAGATAACAGTGATCTCCTTTTTCAGAATAGTCCACAGGTAATGTCTTTATGGACTGTAGACACATTGGGGAATAGTTTACAGTTTAATGGAATCCCTGTTTGGTGGGAAAAGGAGTCAAGAATAAATTGTATATTGTTTTTTGCATGTGTGTGCATGTGAGTTTTTTCAGTTTTTTCTTTGCTTAATCCCTTCACCTTTTCCACCCAGTCCCCCAACCCTCCTCCCCTTCAACAGCTGTCAGTCTGTTCTCTGTATCTATGAGTCTGTTTCTATTTTGCTTGTTAGGTTTTTTTTGTTCATTAGCTTCCACATATAAGTGAAGTTGTGCGGTACTTGTTTTTCTCTGACTGGCTTATTTCACTTATCATAATAGTCTCCAGGTCCATCCATGCTGTTGCAAAAGGTGAGATTTTGTACCATGGCTTTTTTATCCACTTATCTACTGATGGACTCTTGGGCTGCTTCCAAATTTTGGCTGTTGAAAATAATGCTGCATTGAGCATAGGGATGCATAGTTTTTTTGCATTTGTGTTTCTGGTTTCTTCAGATATATTACCAGGAGTGGAATCGCTGGGTCAAATGTTGGTTGTTTTAAGCTACTAAGTTTTGGGGGCAATTTGTTATATTAAGCATTCGATAACTAACACATATACGTGTAGGGAGAGGGAGCTGTTTTTACATCTATCTCCACGTGTTAGATCGTTCACTGTGCATACATTCATCACCCCATAAAATAAGACACATACAATGCCTGTCATGGCCCTGTAACAGAAAAGCATTTTTCTTTGCACATCACAGTCGCTGCAGCTCTGAGATGCTTTTCTGTGTTAGAAGGATATTCTTTCCTGGTCTCCGAGTGTTCCATGGGCACCAGGCACCTTGTGGCTGATGATACTCCAGAGCAGGTGGCCATGGCTGACACTGAGAAGATTTATATTGCTGATGATTTGCTAAAATGTCCATGAGAATATGCTGAAAGAGAGAAAACTTGGGATGCATTTTTTCAGATTCTTCAGGTATACATTTGTTTTCGGAGTCCCCAAGATTTGTGGTCCGCTGAACCCATTTCTAGGTCTCCCTCTGGAAAGCCAAAAGTCATTTTCCCTTACATTTTATCATTCTTCTTATGAAATATGTTTCCGTAGCTGGAGTTGAAATAACCTGGCTAGGCCTCTTGCTTGGCTGTTAGGCTACACATTGGTCTCACAAAGAGAGCTTTATCGGCCTGCCGATCTCTTAAATGAATTACCTGCCATTGCTTTAACAATACTTGTCTGATGGGTGAGCTCCAACATTTTGTAGACTGGTGGCTCTTTCCAGCCAGATCTGCAGACTGTGTTTAAATAAGGACACTTTATCACTAGTGCCAAAAGAAATAAGGAAATCAAGTGTTCCTCAATTTAGCTTTTGATGATTTTATAAACCAAGAACTTCAGTTTCTTTTTGTTGGACTTTTTAATCAGTCTCCAGAAATTTGTTTGGAAGAAATGCTTTGTATTCGCGGGTAGCATTCCCTTATATTTCCTTGGTATTTTCAGAGAAGATGAAGATATATTGATCAAAGCCTGTCTACAGGATGCTTTTACAGTAACTGGTATTTTTCAAGCATCTGAAAAATTGTGGGAAGTGGAGTTGGAGTTACCACTTCCATTTGGTCCTAGAGAGTCTTACTATCCTCGGGAGACCAAAATGTAATACTCTTGTACCTTTACTTCATTCAATAAGTATTTGTGAAATACCTGTTAAGCCAATGGAAGATCTGTTCTTCAAGGAATAGATTCTTTCACAGGGACTCAGATGCAGATGTTCATCGACAACACAAGCAATACATGTTCAAGAGCTAGGTGAGATATATACATACACATGCACACACATATATATGTACATGAGGTATCGGTAGAAAAGACTGGGAAGCCTGCAGGAAAGACAGAGCCTCTACTGGCCTAGATAG